GTAAAAAGATAATTAAAAATATATTTTAGTAAAAAAATTATAAATAATTTAATTGTTATTATTGATCTAAATCTAGTTAATATCTATAGTATACTGGTTAGTTTTAATGTAAATTACTAAGTTATTAGTATAAAAATTAAGTTGTTATTAAGAAGCATTAATAATAGAGTATTGCTATAATGTATTTATCATCTCTTTTAGATCAAAAATTTATTTGCAAAAGAATTTAAAATAGTAATTGTTGAAACTAAAAGATATATAGTAGATGCTTAACTGCTGTTGAATATATAAAATTCAAATAGTTGCCATTAAAATTAATAAAGTTAGAGTTTATTCTTTCTAAAACCTAGTAGATATAATAGCTAATACATAATTGTGCATTGGTTTTTAATTCTATTTAATTTTATATCAGTCTAAACAAGATGTGTATTTAATTAGTGAAAGAAAAAAATAATTTGATTGTTTATATTAATATCAAATTGTTAATGTATAATAGATATTTGATTAATATTACAAAAATATATATATATTTTGTAATAATAATTATATTATTATTATATATAAATAATTATAGTTTAGATTTTTTTGAAATTTGTTATAAGTTATAAGTAAAGAGATTAGATTTTAGTTGCTGATAATGTGAAAGTAGTATTCTGTAATTGTTTTAGACTATTATTGTATCTTTTAAATATGTGAACTATAATGTTTTCTGCCTTTAGACAGATGAAAAAGTTAAGATTAAACATGTTTTTATTTAAATAAAATAATATTTTTTGTAGTACAAAGCTGTTCAAAATATAGTATATTGAGATTTCTAAGTTGTTTTTAAAAGTAGTATATTGAGTATAGTGTAATAAAATTTTTATAAAGACTAGTAATAGTATTAGATAGTATTAGGCCAAGCAACATTAGAGTTAGCTATTATAGATATATTTAAATAAATTAGAAATTGAATAATTTTAAAATTTATGTGTATTTGTTAAATTTATTAAGAATTAGTTGTGGGTGCTAAAGTATATTAGTTGTGAACCAGAAATTATTTTAAAATTATTATAATTTAATTTGAGTAAAGATTCTGAATAGATTAAAGAAGTTATTAATTTATAGTAAAAAATTAAAAATATGATGTTAAAACTAAATGTTTTAGATATTGTAAACATTATATAAGTATGAGATAAGCAAACTACTATTAGGAATAGAACAGAAAATAAAATTTGTATTTAATTATTGTTAGATATTTAACTAATATATTATTATATATAAAATAAGACAAAACTATATTATATGTCTTATTTAAGTATAGGTATAATAATAATATTAATAATATAAGTAATTTGTTTGTTTATAATTTTCTTAGTAGTATGTTGAAGTGTTTTTTAAATAATTTTAATTTGTTGTATATGCTTATTATTAAGTATAAACCAACAGCTTAAAAATTTAAAAAACTTATTAATTAGTATTGATTTAAGAACTAAGTTAAATAATTAAATAATTGATAAAGAAGATTTTGAGATAAAAATAAACTTTGACAAATTAATTTGAATATTAATTATTAGATAAAAAAATATAATAGTTTAAGTAATTTGTTCTAGTTTTGATATTTTTTAAGTTATCCAGAATGTATCAACTATATATACTAATATAAATATAAAAATTTAAAGACTTTTAGTTTTGAATAATAAGATATAAGTTTTCTAAATTGTGTATAATATATAGTCTTTGTGTTGTAAAGTGATTTTTTAAATAAGTAAATTATAGGAAATATGTCAAAAAGAAAATTAATAATTTTTTCTTAATAAATACTATTTTTAATTATATAATAATTAGTAAGCTCTAGATTAATAATTACTCTATTTTAAAATTTTGTTAACAAGCTATATTAAATAATTCAAGTTATATACTAATTTGGTTAAGTGATTTTTTAAATAGATTAAAATTAACTAAGTTGTATATTTATTTATATTTTGAGATATAAACCAGAGTTTTTGAAATTACAAAATATATTTTTAATTATATTGTTAAGTATATAAATAAGTATAGCAATAGTGTTGCCTAAAAGTAAATATAATTATAAAATAATAAAATTTGATACTTAGTAAATACAATATTTATCTAATTTAAAAAAATTTATTATAAAGTTTTTTTGATATATTTCAGAAAGTTAATAGGTCTAGTATTGATTAAATTATTATCAAATATTAGTTTTTAGATAATTAAAAAAATTTTATTATCTTTTTATTATTTTAGAATATAATTTGTAAATATGTATCTATTTAGCAAAACTGTAATTACTTGAAGAAAGGATATATTAATATGTTTTAATATTTTATAACTAATGCCTAAAGGAAATAGTCTTTATTATTTTGAAACTGTACTAGTGTTTTAACTACTTATTAATAATAAATCCTTAAGAATCTTTTGATATTAGTTAAAATTAATATATAGTTACAAATTATATTTTTCTTTTTATGCTAGATTTATAAATTTGATAATCATTTTGTCTATATAATATTTATTAATTAAAGTATTATTAAATATAAAAGTTTAATACTTGTTATATTAATAACAACATCATTATTTATTTAGATATTATCAAATCTAGCTAAATCTTTGTATCTATTAAATATACTATTTATTATGAATATAATATGTAATTAAGTTTGTTGCACCTTTTGATAATATTATTACTAATTTGCTATCTTATTTTTTTGATATTTTTTATATTTAAGTATAATACAATAACCTTTATTTAGTTTTGACAATTGATTATATTTAGTTGGTAAAAGTAAAATATTATGAAAATTAGATATGTTTTATTAATAAATTAGATTATTATATTAATATGAAATAAAGTTAGAAGTATTTAATCTGTTTAATGATATTGCTAATAATAACTGATTGATAACAAACTGTAATTAACTGTGACTAATTGAGCCTATCTCTAATTTTGATATAGTGTAAACTATTTAAATTAAGCCAGATTTGAATTAAAATTGCTTACAAATCTACATGCCTTTTTTAACCAAAATTCATCTAAACATTGCATAATTATTAGTAACAGACTTGCCAATTTAAAGCATCTTAATATGATTTATTTTTATCTAAGAAAGAGGCAAGACACTTATACTAATTTTGAATATTATATTCTATAAAGAACTAAAAATTAGACTCAGATAAACAATCTGATTTAATAAAAAGATAAAAATGTTACTGGGCTAATTTTAACATATTTCTTTAAAAATTTCTATTTTTAGAATATAAAAGATAAATTAATTCTGACCAAAAATTATGTAAACAATTATATAATGCAGACCAAATTTTGTAAATTATAATTATTAGTTAATTAAATTAAAAATTTACTGTAACTAAGTTGTTGTGATATCTAAGGTATTTACAGTTACAATATTATGCTATAGCATTATAGCATATAATATTTATAGCAATCAGATACTGTGATAAAATTTAAACAAACCAATAATATTCATGATTTAGAATTATAAATTCTGTAAATATGCAACATTAATAAAAAAAACCATAGAATATAAACCATGAATTGACTTTTTATAATCACATTATAAATAAATAAAACATAATACTAGTAGAATCAGAAACCAGCTAAGTTTTAACTCATGACTATTATATTATAAAATTCATAAATAAGCATAATTTTTATACAATATACAAATATCTTTTTTAATAATTTTATGATAAATACATTAAAATCATAATTTTAATCATCAAAACATATAGAAATATAAGCTTCTACTTCATTTCAGACTAAGGAGAAATTACTTTGAGCATGTCAAAATACTTTTGATAAATTCAACTTGCCAAAAATACAAAACTGAAAGTTGTAAGTCTTATAGAAAGTCAATCATGTCTTGACACAGATACTTTTTGATTTTAAAAAAATAATGTAACTGTTGCACTTATAATCATCATTACCAGAATGTTGCATTTAAATAAGGTCTGAAAGTTCATTAAAGTTTATTTAGATTTGTGTTAGTAGCAATGCTAATGCTAAGAGTAGAGGAAATATAATAGTAAAATCACTTGAGAGATTTTTTTGCTAGTGCACTAAAGATAATTTTCTATGTAAATTTTTGAGTTATAACAATGCAAACATTTTTTTGAATTTTTTCACTCATGTAACATTCCACCTAATATTGAAATCTAATTTGTTTGCACCACAAAAATTCCACATAACTGTAACATTTTGGTAATTAATAGTAGCTCACCTATAAGATTTTTTCTAGTATGTAATTTTTAGCCAATTATATTAAAGATTAGATGTAATGTAAAATCAAAACAATCAAATTAAGTAAAAGATTTTAAAATAAGAAGCATCATCTTAAGGTTAGGATAAGGGATGAAGAAGATATAGCTTATACTAAAATTTCATGAAGAATTTTTTTATTAGAATGCAGAAGGCAGTTTTATAGATAAAATTTGATTTTTTAAAAAAACATTATCAGAGGTAAAACTGACACCTTATAGAACCTGTGAAATGGATGTTATTATGGCATACTTATCTAATTAGAGTTGCTAAAGGATGGTTCTGAAAGTAGGTACTTTCAGTACCTGCTAAAATTGAAAGTCTACCAAAAGTACTTTCAAACAGGGTTTGGTTTACTGCAATGTTCAAAAGTCATAAGTTCTAGTAAAAGTTGTAAGTCTTACTGAAAGTCAAAAATTTTACAAAAATTGAAAGTCTTACTGAAAGTTGAAACCCTTACCGAAAGTTGAAAGTCTTACTGAAAGTCGAAAGTCTTACTGAAAGTCAAGGCCAGTCATATCTTTACAAAGATACTTTTTTGATTTAAAAAAAGTCATGTGATCACTGCACTTAGAATCGACCAATGGAATTTATAAAAATTCTATTGGTCAATTTTAAGTGCAACGGTCACATGACTTTTTTTAAAATCAAAAAAGTATCTGTGTAAAGATATGATTGGCCTTGACTTTCGGTAAGACTTTCGACTTTCGGTAAGACTTTCGACTTACGGTAACGGTTTCGACTTTCGGTAAGGGTTTCGACTTTCGGTAAGACTTTCGGTATGGGTTTCTACTTTCGGTAGGACTTTCGACTTTCGGTATGACTTTCGACTTTCGGTAAGGGTTTCGACTTTCGGTAAGACTTTCAACTTTCGGTAAGACTTTCGACTTTCGGTAAGGGTTTCGACTTTCGGTAAGACTTTCGAGTTTCGGTAAGACTTTCGACTTTCGGTAAGACTTTCGACTTTCGGTAAGACTTTCGACCTTCGGTATGACTTTCGACTTTCGGTATGACTTTCGGCATGACTTTCGATTTCGGCATGACTTTCGGCACGCCAAAATACTTTCGGAGCCATCCT